CATGAGAACCCCGAGAGCCCAGGGAAGGAGCAGCCCCCCACCCACCGTGTCCCTTCCCACTTCTTCCAACCTGCCCCAGGCTGGGAGAGCCGGGCTGCAAGAGCCAGCTCTGGCCAGTAGGGGGAGACGTCGTCCACCGAAACCACAGGGTGGCGCTTCCTCGTCCACAAGTCCTGGGTCTGGGTTCTAGCCAGATGGGGGTGGGGTGGAGGACACAGGGAGTCCCTCATGCTTGAGTCCCCTGGAGCCACCTTGAGGCAGCCTATCCCAATGCACCCCCGCCCCACTATCCGGGTGAGGCGCAGAAGAGAGGGGGGCCCTTCCCCGCTCAGTCTTCAGGAGACTCAGGTACAGACACAGCCATGACCAGGAGGCTGGGCTCTTCCACCAGCCCAATGGGGACCACGGCAGGGTGGATAGTGGACCCTTGGGAGACAGACCCGCGGGGGTGGGCGAGGCATCCAGTCAGAGGGGGCTACCGGCCCTGAGCTTCCTGCAGGTTGCCTCGCCTGGCCCTCGAGCAAGTGTCCAGCTAGGGGCTTGGGGCTGACAAGTGCGGTGGTTGGGGCGGTGTGGCCAGCAGGGGTCGCTGTGTCTGCGTGTCGGATCTTGCAGGCGCGACAGGTCTGCCGGCTCACAAAGTCCCGTGCACACGCGCTCACGCACACACCCCACACAGACCGGGGCTCGCGGCCACACACTGACCTTCAGTCGTGCCTGAGGGCTGCATCTTCTGGGTGTGTGCATCTCCTTCCCTCTGCACGCTCACTCGAGTGTGCAAAGCCACATCAGCCCTCCTCCAGCAGTCGCTCACAGGGCCACCGCAGGCCCACACCTATGAGCCTGGCTCCACCAGTTCTCAGAGGCACACCTGCGCGCCGTCCAACACAAGCACACACAGGCCCCGTCACCTCTGCTGCACCTAAAGACGGAACCTGGGGAGAGTCTGGATTCTCCTGTGGGAGGCTCCCTTCCCTTTTCTCCCCCTATTCCTCTCCCCAGGGGCTACCAGTTCTCACCAGCTGGGAGGTGAACAAGGTGATATGGGGAGAGATGGAAGAGGACCCGGAGGAGAGGTGGAGAGCGGACAGAGGGGGCTGGTTGTTGAGATGAGTGGACAGGAGGAAGGACGGCTGGGAGGACCAGGTCTCTCCGCTCCTCTTGGCCTCAGCTTCCTCCTCCGTCACGTGTGGATGAGGACATCAGACCTCCTGACCTTTCCAGGTTTTGTGGGGATCGGTGAGATGAGGCACGGGAAGCCACCTTGAATTCCCTCCCCATCAGTTTGTGTTCTCCCTCCTCTTCTCTCCCGGTACCTTCCTCCTTCCCCTCCCCTTCACCCCCCTTACTTTCCCCAATCTCTGGTAGGACCTCAGTCAGAGCTGCATTGACAGGCAGCCCTAGGCAGCCAGATATGGAACCTCGGCAAAAGGTTTTTGAGCATGAGTGAGCTTAAAGCTTGGCACTAGAGCCCAGTGCTGGCTGGGTCTGGGCAGGTGCTGTCTAGGACAGGAAGCCAGGCCTGGAGCAAGCCCTGGTCAATGCCCACCTGGCCTCAGGAGGTAAAGGACCTTGTCCCAGGCCCGGCAGAGGTCAGGAGACTCAGCCCCGGGCTAGCTGGGGACAAGGGCTGCTGCTGCACTTAGCGCTTTCAGGCTCCAGGGCCCAGGGCAGGTGCTGAGGTGCCTGTCTTGGAGTGGCCTTGCAGCCCCATCCCCACAGCTGTCTCACAGCAGGGGGCGGGGAAGTTACAATCCTAATCATTCACATTTTCTGACTCGGAGACCCTCTCCTAGGTATCAGCACATTTACTCCTAACTACACACAGGGAGGAGGGCATTATTAGCATCATCCCCATTGTATAAATGAGGATCTTGAGGTTAAGCAACTGCTTAGGGTGCAATAAACATGGCAGTGTTCACAGTCCTTTCACTGGCCTCATCAGCAGCTCTCAGGTCAGCGTTACTGCCACTTGGCGCCCATTTAACAAGGGCAGAAACTGAGGCTAGGTCAGATGAAAGGACTGGTAGGTGCCTGTCCACCCAGCCCTCTACTGGCCCTGCTTGAGGTGAGGGAAGCAGACAAGTGCCCTTGAACTACCCTGGGACAGCCCCCAGCCAGGGAACCTTCTGTGCCAGGGAGGAACAGTGCCCACGCTGCCCCCACAGTCATGCCCTGTCATCCCCTGAACGTTTATTGAATGACTCCTCTATGCCAGCCAGGGATGGAAGTCTGCTGGAACAGTGGAGGCATTGAGGAGGCAGAGGCTACAACAGCCCCTGGCTTTGCTCAAGTCCTGCTTCTCTAAGAAGCTTGCCCTGATTCTGCTGGAGAGGGAAATCAGGGCAGGCTTCACAGAAGAACTGCACTTGAGCAAAGTCTTGAGAGACAAA